CCCAAAAATTCCACCAGGACCCTCAGAATCCCAAAAAAACCCACCAGGACCCTCAGGATCCCAAAAATCTCCAGCAGGACCCTCAGGATCCCAAAAAATCCATCAGAATCCCAAAAAATCCCCACCAGGACCCTCAGAATCCCAAAAAAACCCAATAGGACCCTTGGGATCCCAAAAAACCCCCAGCAGGACCCTCAGGATCCCAAAAATCCCTGTCAGGACCCTCAGAATCCCAAAAAATCCCCAGCAGGACCCTCAGGATCCCACCAGGCCCCAGCAGGATCCCAGAAAACTCCCACCAGGACCCTCAGGATCCCAAAAAACCCATCAGAATCCCAAAAAATTCCCACCAGGACCCTCGGAATCCCAAAAAATCCCCAGCAGGATCCCAAAAATTCCACCAGGACCCTCAGAATCCCAAAAAACCCCACCAGGACCCTCAGGATCCCAAAAATCTCCAGCAGGACCCTCAGGATCCCAAAAAATCCCCAGCAGGATCCCAAAAATTCCCACCAGGACCCTCAGAATCCCAAAAAAACCATCAGAATCCAAAAAAATCCCCAGCAGGACCCTCAGGATCCCAAAAAACCCTGGCAGAACTCTCAGGATCCCAAAAAAGCCCCACCAGGACCCTCAGGATCCCCAAAAATCCCCAGCAGGATCCCAAAACTTCCACCAGGACCCTCAGAATCCCCAAAAATCCATCAGAATCCCAAAAAATTCCCACCAGGACCCTTGGAATCCCAAAAAATCCCCAGCAGGATCCCAAAAATTCCCACCAGGACCCTCAGGATCCCAAAAAATCTATCAGAATCTCAAAAAACCCCCACCAGGACCCTCGGAATCCCAAAAAATCCCCACCAGGACCCTCAGGATCCCCCAAAACCCCAGCAGGACCCCAAAGCTCCCCATCAGGATCCCAAAAACCCCAGGGGAATTCCGGGAATACCGGCTTCGCTGAGGAATTTCTCCCGGTTTTCCGGGCTGCAATCCTTCTTGCAGGTCTTGACGGCCACGTCCACGCGCTCCCCGCCCTGCCGGGAGGAGGGAAAAGCGGGAATGCCGCATCCCAAATCCCGGATTTCGGCCCGGCGGGGGTCGGGGAGAAGGGCGGGAATCTCACGGGAGCGGTGTAGATTCCCTGGAAAACCTCTCCGAAGAATCCTTCTCCCAGGATGCGGCCCAGGGCGACGGCGTCGCGGGAGATTCCGAAGGGTTGGGCTGCGGGGAGGCGGGAATGGTTATCCCGGGTTTTGTTATCCCGGGTTTCGTTATCCCGGATTTTATTAATTATCCCGGATTTTATTAATTATCCCGGATTTTATTAATTATCCCGAATTTTATTATCCCGGATTTTGTTATCCTGGATTTATTATCCTGGGTTTTGTTATCCCGGATTTTGTTATCCCGGATTTTATTAATTATCCCGGATTTTATTATCCCGGATTTTGTTATCCTGGATTTATTATCCCGGATTTTGTTATCCCGGATTTTATTAATTATCCCGGATTTTATTAATTATCCCGGATTTTATTATCCCGGATTTGTTATCCCGGGTTTGCTATCCCAGGTTTCGTTATCCCGGGTTTTGTTATCCCGGATTTTATTAATTATCCCAGATTTTATTAATTATCCCGGATTTTATTAATTAACCCGGATTTTATTAATTAACCCGGATTTTATTATCCCGGATTTCTTATCCTGGACTTTATTATCCCGGATTTTGTTATCCCAGATTTATTATCCCGGATTTTGTTATCCCGGATTTATTATCCCGGATTTCTTATCCCAGATTTTATTATCCCAGATTTTATTAATTATCCCAGATTTATTATCCCAGATTTATTATCCTGGATTTATTATCCCGGATTTGTTATCCCGGATTTTATTATCCCGGATTTATTATCCCGGATTTTCATATCCCGGATTTTAACATCCCAGATTTTGTTATCCCGGATTTTAATATCCCGGATTTTATTATCCCAGATTTTTTATCCCGGATTTTAATATCCCGGATTTTGTTATCCCGGATTTTATTAATTATCCCGGATTTTAATAATTATCCCGGATTTTATTATCCCAGATTTATTATCCCAGATTTTATTTATTATCCCGGATTTATTATCCCGGATTTCTTATCTCGGATTTTATTATCCCAGATTTTATTAATTATCCCAGATTTTATTATCCTGGATTTTATTATCCTGGATTTGTTATCCCGGATTTTATTAATTATCCCAGATTCATTATTACAGATTTTATTATCCTGGATTTTGTTATCCCGGATTTGTTATCCCAGCTTTTATTAATTATCCCAGATTTTATTAATTAACCCAGATTTTATTACCCTGGATTTTCTTATCTCAGATTCATTATACTGGATTTTGTTATCCCGGATTTTGTTATCCCGGATTTTAATATCCCGGATTTTATTATCCCAGATTTTTTATCCTTGATTTTAATATCCCAGATTTTATTATTCTGGATTTTGTTATTCCGGATTTATTATCCCGGATTTTGTTATCCCGGATTTATTATCCCAGATTTTATTATCCCAAATTTATTATCCCGGATTTTATTATCCTGGATTTTGTTATCCTGGATTTTGTTATCCTGGATTTATTATCCCAGATTTTATTATCCCAAATTTATTATCCCAGATTTTATTATCCCGGATTTATTATCCCAGATTTATTATCCCGGATTTTATTATCCCGGATTTATTATCTCAGATTTTATTCCCTGGGATGAATTCGGCCGGGAAAAGCTGGGGAAATGATCCTGTCCGACCGTGAGGATCCATCGTTCCGGGGATCCCAGGATCCTGCCCCATCCATCCTCAGGGATCCATCCCGGGATCCCTCTCCATCCCCAGGGATCCAGGGATCCTGCCCTCTCCATCATTCCATGGATCCAGGGATTCTGCTCTTTCCATCCTCAGGGATCCCGGGATCCTGCCCCGTCCATCCCCAGGGATCCATCCCGGGATCCCTCTCCATCCTCAGGAATCCATGGATCCCATCCTCTCCATCATTCCATGGATCCCGCCCAATCCATCTTTATGGATCCAGGGATCCCGCCCGCTCCATCCTCAGGGATCCATGGGTTCCACCCTCTCCATCATTCCATGGATCCATGGATCCCGCCCAATCCAGCATTCCAAGGATCCAGGGATCCTGCCCGCTCCATCCCCAGGGATCCAGGGATCCTGTCCTCTCCATCATTCCAAGGATCCCGGGATCCCGCCCGCTCCATCCCCAGGGATCCATCCTGGGATCCCTCTCCATCATTCCATGGATCCATGAATCCTGCCTAATCCATCCCCAGGGATCCATGGATCCCGCCCTCTCCATCATTCCAGGGATCCCGGGATCCTCCCCCACGGATCCTCCGGGACCTTCCGAGAGCTTTGCCGAGGACGGGGCGGGAATTTGGTCCCGTGGGGAATTCCCGAGGGAAGCACCAACCTCCGGATCTGGGCCGCGAGGACTCGTCCAGGATCTCGGCGTAGATCTCGGAATCTGCGGGAAAACGGGAAGCGGGAAAAGCGGGATCGGGAAGCTCAGCGGGAGGAGAGCTCCGGAGGATCCGGTGCTCCTCCGGGATGCAAGGATGCATCCCAAACCTCGGGAAAAGAGTTTGGGGAGTCCGGCCCCCCCAAATCCTGCATGGAAATGGTCCCTAATCCCAAAATCCCAAAATCCCAAATCCCAAAATCCCAAATCCCAAAATCCCAAATCCCAAAATGCCAAATCCCAAAATCCCAAATCCTGCACGGAATGGCTCGTAAATCC